GGAGAAAATCCCAAAATATAAAGACCTGAAAATAGAACAACTATGGCAAAAGAAAGCAAAGATAGTACCAATAGTTAATAGGCGTCTTAAGTGCAATCCCAAAACATCTGGAGCAGCATTTGCAAACCATCGGCATTGACAAAATCACCATCAGTCCATTGCAAAAGGCATCTTTACTTGGAACAGATTGTATCCTGCAACGATACCTTTAACACCATCAAACATCTGCCTATCCCAGGTCCTTGGGAAGGACTCGATAGGAGGATAAAAATGTCAAATCCAGTCTAAACATCTGGCTGACTGTGCGATCAACAATAATAATAATATGCTGTTTTCTAGTTTTACAAAGCCAAAACAGGGGTGTTGCATGGTAGTTGAGAGGGGGAAAAAATTAAGAACAGTTTGCTGTCTGCCAGCTTGTCAGTAGGCTCTTGGCAACATGTTGTCAAGATGTAAATGTTCCAAATTGAATATTCCCTTTACTATAGATATGTTCTTTAATATGAATTTTATATTACAGTAGATTATATTCTTGGTGTGTAATAAACACAGGTACGAACAAGATCTGTTGGAGAGTGTGTAGCATTTTACTACATGTGGAAAAAGTCAGAACGATATGACTTCTTTGCTCAGCAGACACGATTTGGTAAAAAGAAGTACAATCTGCATCCTGGTGTAACGTAAGTCTTGTTGATTACTTATCAGTTTCCTCATTTTGCACTCTACTAAAATAATTTTTTTTTAAAACTATGGCTTTTCTAGTTAATTAGAAATGGAAAGTGTATAAAATTGCACTTTTATATTACATTAGCACGTTATGTTGTTTTCTCAGAGGTACAGATGCTATTATTACTCTATTTAGTACAATTTTTAACCTTTCTTCCAAAGGTCAAGATCATATGTCTCCTTTTCTCACAAACATACCCTAAATTATAACTGATGACAATAGGAAGAGTAGTTGAGTGGGAATTTTAACTGAGAAGTTCCTCTGATCTGAGTCTAGCATTTTAACAATGGCTTTCCTACCACCTATTAGACTGATAGCGATTTGATTTATATACAATTTTGTGAGGCTTCTAAAGCAGTGTATAATGTATGTTATCTAATAGTTGTATAGCGATGTTATGCCACAAAGGAGAAGTGATAAAATTAAAGCTAAGCTTTTTGGCTGACACTCTCCCTCTCTTTTTTTTAAAAAAAAGGGTGTTATGGAATGGGAGAAGCGTACTAGGATGTCAGTTTACCTCAAGAATTTCTGTGCACATTTCAGCAACAATAGTCTCAGGCCACTTAGGAATAAAGCAAAAAACACTTAGTAAAAAAATATGAATACGACAGCAGATAAAAGGATCATAAAAATAGCAGTTAAAAAAACTTTACCAGCTTAGCATAGAAAAGTTATTTTGGGCGAACCTTTGTTGTACTGTTTGTATAATAAATCTCCATTCAAAATTTAAAATGGATTATGCTTTGAATGCTTTAAATGGACATTTTCCACTAAGGCTTATCATATTAGAATGATGGCTTAGGATTACAGGTCCTCACTTAACTACCATAATTGGGACTGGCAACTCTGTCACTAAATGACACAGTCATTAAGCAAGACATGACATGACCGCAGTGGGCTTATGACTTCACTTCTGTTGCAGTCATTAAGCTAATTACCTGCAGCCATTGAGCAAGATATCACATGACCGCAACTTGCAATTTGACTCTGCTTGTTGGAAGCCGGCTGTGAAGCGTGCAAATGGTGATTAAATGCAAGGACCAATCAGAAAATTACTTTTTCAGCACTCTCTTAACTTTGAACGATTGCTAAATAGGGAAGTCATTAAGGGAGGACTATTTGAGCAAAAAATAAACCATACGCAGCAGATCGTATGCTACGTTGTAAACAAGTTAGTTGTAGAATTTCTAGGGGCTTTACCTCTGTATTACTTTTTATCTTAATACATATTCATTGAATTTGAGCTTTATATCTTAAGTTGTTCGATAATAAAATTTGCCTGGATCATATATAACATAATGTAGTTTGTCTGAATTTGCCTTAGCACAATATGATTTAATGTATGTGCAAACTAGGCAAATTTGACTTCTTCAATAATAACTATAATTTTTAAATCCTGGCTTAGCATTATATGAATGCAGATTGGTCAATGTAGGACCATATCTTGTGGGAACATTATAGTGAAACATACTTGAAGAGCAAATTTCTTGCTTTTTTTAAAAAGGGACTACATGGATCGTCTTTTAGATGAAAGTGAAAGCGCTGCATCCAGCAGAGCTCCTAGTCCTCCTCCTACAACTTCCAACAGCAGCACCAGCCATTCAGAAAGAGAGGACAGCACAACCAGCAATAGTAATCAAAATGGTAGGTAAAATACACTTTCTTCCATCTAAATTCCCTAATGGCACACTCTTTAAGCCAACAAAGTACATTTTTGCAAGTAATTTTCATCTAATTTTAAATTATTCTTTTGCACATTTTTCCATTTGTGTGTTGTGGTTTTTTAAAGATGCAAATTACAGTATTCAATTCTACAAAACTGTTTGAGGGCAGAAAGATACTTGGCTCATGTACAATCTGCAGCCTTTGAATCACATGGTTCTCTTAAATACTTTGTCTACTTACTTGCCTGTTTGTTAGATTCGTATCTTACCTTTCTCAAAGAACTCAGTGTGGTACTCCTTTTTCCTCTTCCTCAACTCCTCCTCTATGGGGTAGGTTGGCTTCAAAGAGAATGACTAGCCCAAGTTTACCCATGGAACTTCCACGGGTCAGGGTAGTCCTAGACTGGGTCTTAGTGCAGCCCTAGAGGCATCTGAAATTATAAGTTTGGACCTATAGAAGCAGGTAAAAATGCATACCAGATGGTAACCATTATGTAAATGTAAAGGAAGTGAAATCAAATTTCATTTGAGGCATGATATCACCAACCACTTTTGTAGAGTTATTCAAACCACTTAAAAGCTAAACAGTTACAAACTGGACAAGTTTGTATTCTGTATATATGATAGTATTGTTCATGTCCATGGTTTTAAGTATTTTTGTGACTTGTTTTTAAAAATGGTAGTTTTTTCTTTTCTATTTTATATTACTGTTCTGTTTGTAGGTGTATCTACTAATGGGCCAAGTGAATTATCAAATAAAGATGACATGAAAATTGAAGGACTGCATCTAAATGGACCAACACCTGGCAAAAAAATGCATCTTGTAGATTTTGATACAAATGGTTATGAACCTGAAAACCTTTCCAATCATTCTAAACTTCCTCATTCAAATACAAGGAATGATCTTGAAGACAAAAATGAAAGGCCTGTGAAAAGGAGAAGAATCAACAGCAATGACAAAGAATGCACAGGTTCCTCTGAAATTTTCCAAGAAGCAGTAGCCCATGGAAATTTTGAAGAACAAGAGACTGTGGGTGATTGAACATGTTGCATTCAAATAATTTTTGGGGATGTCTGCATTTTCAGGGTTAACAGGTTCTCTTTACAGTTTCAAATCCCATAATATAATTTATGGAGATTTTGAAATGTATTTTAGTTGCTTTCTAATCCTAGCTGAGGTTACAGTATACCTTTTAAAATCCTGAAATGCAGATGCAGTGGGTGGGAGAATTTTCTATCAGAGAGCCAGTTGCTATAGAACCGGTTGAGAGGTTTTTTGTTTTTTATTTTTTTTTAAAGGCAGATTTCTGCAGATTACTTCAGGGCACTAACCTGTTATGTAAAATATACTTTGGAAAATAGTCAGCTTAAAATTCCTAAGCAGAATTGATAAAACAGAAGTGAAGAAAGAAGCAATATTAAACAGTTTAAGGAATGCCTGTAAATCCTGAAAGTTGCATGAGAATTCATTCATGTATGTGTGTATATATATGTGTGTGTATGTGCGCGTGTATGTATGTATATGTCTGTGTGTGTGTGTGTATATATACGTATATATATATACGCATATATATATAT